AAATGTATTTTTTGTTGAATACGATATGTTTTTGATTGTCTTACTTTATTGTTTAGATATTTAGTTTGCCGTGTTAACTTTATATTATCTTGTTTGAGTTAATTTTCTCTTGTTTGTCCCTTAAGACATGCATGTTAATTGTTAACGTAAATAATGTTGTAAATATGAGATCATCAACAGGATTTGGGAGAGCCCACTAGATAAACCTCCTGGTTTCTTGGGCTCTCCTGCATGTATTTGATTGTACATAATTTCTTTTTATACCATTACTTTTTTTATGTGCGAAAGGACAATAAACAAAACAATAAACAAATTCATTGTTTAAATTTTGATGTTGACTTCATGGCTCCTATCGTACCATAATAGGATCCCTAGGCCTGTTTTTATTTTTTTTTATTTTTCGCCCGCCCCCTCCATTATTTTTCTAGAAAAATCCGTTAACCAAGAAATTAAATTGGTGTGGCCTGAGAGTACCAACGAAATCTAAGGTAATCGATAATTACTATAATCATACATGTACCTGTGAATATTTCATCAGGTTGGTAAGTCACTGAATAAAGAGACTCTTTTTTTTCCGCCCACAACCAAGTGTTTTATTCAGATGACGTTACAGTGACCGTCTGTCACCCTACTCAGTCAGAACTGCCCTGAGGAAGATGACAGACGGTCACCGAAACGTCGTCTGAATAAAACTTATTAATAAGAACTTTATGTTAGCAGATGGTTTTATACCATTCTTCAATACCTTCTGTACTCATTGTCCTTGTCAGTTTGCTATTAGCCCTCGGGCATGAACCTGCAATAAGTAACTTAAATCATATTTCACCTTGCAAAGGAGGCAGTCATTCTTTTCAGTGCTTCTTCTTTTTTTGCACGGTGACTTTTCCCAATCTTCTCCACCAGACCTCGTGCCAGCTTTTCTCTTTTCCTTGGCTCATTTATCTGTAACAAACATAATTATAAAATATGGGATTGGTGCTTCGTTATGACTTAACATGCCAAACCAGGGCTCCAAGTACTTTTTTTTTACATATCTGTACTGGTGCAGGTAGCAAGTTTAGGAATAGTGTGAGTGAGTGTAAGGCCACAACAAGTAATTTTTATGGATGACATCAGCGCGCGCATTAATTTTTGCCTGATTTTGGAAAAAAAAACAAGAAATTTTGTTGCCTTCTGACAGTGGTCACCTTGCCGAAAATGGGCAAAGATGTCTGTTGCCATGCTGGAACGTGGATGGCAGATAACTATGAAGAGAGGAGACAAGAAAAGGCTCTGATTTAATGTTTTGTTTCTTACTTTGATGCAGTGATATGTGATGCTGGCTGTGTATATGTGATGTTCCTACTGAATCAAAACCATTTGTACAATGATTCAGTCAAAATTTTAAACCGTAGGAACCTTGTTTTTTTCGGCCCGCCTTGTTGTTTTTTTCGCCCGTTCGCATTAGATTTGGAGTCTGCGGAGGATGTCATCCATAAAATTTACTTGCTGTGGCCTAACCGACACTTGACAAATTTTACCTGTACTGCTGTCTGTATGAAAAATACTGGTAGATTTGAAGAAGCATTCAACAAACTGCAAACAGTTCATCAAATTGTTAGTGCAGGAAATTGTACTACAGTAACTGTATGAGGCAAGCACAACCCTGGTTAAATCCACTACCTACTGTCTTTTTCACTGAAAAGTGATCCTGTAAGGGCCTTTCCACTGTTTATTGTTTGTTCATTTTTATTTGCACATACGTAATACAAAAACAATACAAGTGAATATACTAATCGAACGAAACAGAATATAGAATAATAAACCTAAACAGAATGGATGTGCTGGAGGAGGAAAAAAGCTTTAGGGCTTATTCTAGTCCTCCCCCATTTCAATTTTTTTTTTAAAAGCATAATAATAATAAGAATAATAATAGCCATGAGTGGCGTCTGTGTGGTGTAGTGGATAGAGCGTCCGACTGTCAAGCAAGGAGACCCAGGTTCAATCCCCAGGGTTGGACCCAGACATGTCCGGACATGCACACAGACGTTGTGCCCTTGTGAAAGGCACTTAACACGTATTTCCCCCCTCAGTTAGAGGGATCCCAGGCCCTACTAGGGTTTGGGTTGGCGTTAGGAAGAGCATCCAGCCGTAAAAATCCTGCTTCAAAAAAAAAAGACTTGTACTTGGTGCAAGCACGTCTAACCCCCGGTTGGGGAAAAATGACCTTAAATTCGGTTTAAAAAAAAAAAGAGAAATCTCTCACCACTGAGAAATTAAAATCAAGGGCAAGACATGAGTTTGACAATGCCCAATGGGTTCAATTAGTTTGCTCTGTGAAAGAAAACTCCAGCCCGTATGTTGATTTTTTTTCCTATCTTCCTTGTTGTTTGTTGAGGAACAACTCTTTGTAGTTTTCTCCAGACGAAACTCCACCTTTGATGTACATGTACATGTACCCATGTGGGTTGCATCTTACCGTTTTAATTAACGATTAGAATATGTCGGCACGCATGTGGGCTTTGTAGTCCTTTGATTGTTAACAAATAACATAACAACTGTATGAATATCAAAGTAAAAAAAGATGAAAGGTAATGAAAATAAGGCTTTGTTATACTGCACTTTATATCATACCCGGGCAGCGATAATGTTCGATAACGGGTTCCGGACCGGGCCGTACTTTACGGTACGGCCCGGTCCGGAACCCGTTATCGAACGATTCCATGGCTTCCATAAAACGATTCAAACGTGTTTCGCCCTAACCGCGTGTGCCCCTTTCGAAAACTCGAATACAGAATCCGGACGTTGGAATTGATGTTGTTGCATTTTAGGGTTTAGTGGCACCAACTTTTTGGCTCATCTTGCATTGAAAGGCGTGTTTTCTTGGGTGGGTATGATATAAATTAAATACAACACGGTGTATTCCGCATCGCTCTCGGTCGGGCCGATACCTCGGGCGATACGGAATACCCCGTGTTGTATTCTATATATATGCGCATGGCTAAAATTCTTACAACGGAATGGTGGCAGCATAAAGTTTTTGAAGTTTTTTTAGTATCTTTTATTTCAGGCATTACATTTTTTTTGTAGAGTTTATATATTGAGGAGTGTTTGGTCTTTCAGAGTTTACAATTGTGGTTTAAACCGTTTGCAGTGCTTAAGTTAAAATACAACCTGCATTATGATGCACATTAATGCAGTTAAAATTGGATC